CTCTCTCTCTCTCTCTCTCTTTCTACGTTAAGTGTTGACTTAATGGGATTTGGGAGTCGTACAAGGTCGTAGGGGAGGGCCAAAAACCAACATGGCTGTCCTGCCCTGACTGACGTGTAAGGTTACGCGCGTGGTCTTCGTGTGTGTGACGTACACGCTCGTGATTGTCCCTGTGGGTGTTTCGAGCTCGCTGTTCAGGGTGTATGTCTGCTCTTAGAGGCACACAAAAAGTCTCTCTGGCTCCTCTTCTTCGTTCTGATAGGTCTAAAGTCTGTTTAAGTCTTCCCAAATTGTTTTATGTGGCCTCTTTAGTAGGATTTCTCTTTAAAAAAAAAATATAGGGACAAATTCTCTTTATGTTTGGTTGTAAATCTTGATACTGACTTCACACTACGTTGTGTTTTACTCATACGCTTGTGTAAATCACACACCCGCGTGATAAATCGGTGTTTTAGCGTATTAATTTCGCGTAACTCTTTAAAAATTCGCTAGAATTCGGTTAAATCTCTCAGATAGAAGGGGAAAATCACTCCTGAGTCTAGAAAAAACACAAAAATCTTTTGTAATTTCCTTTTTCCTAAAGATTTCGTTCAATTTATCCATTGTCACGTCCCTAATTTTGCCCCAACTTTGTTCTATAGAATCGGGCGATTAATCACCCCCAAAAATATCCCAAAATATAAAAAAATAATCATAAAAAACCTTGGTATAATAGAAAGTTATGAAGTTCCCTCCTATTTGACATTAAAGAAATGAATGAGGAGGGATGATTAAACCTTTAATCCAATCTGAAGGTCAAGACTTTTATCTCTGATTCCGTTTTGTTGTATGAGATTACCCTTCAAATTATTTTATGAGTCTCTTTAACAGTAAGTGATACACGAAAAGAAACACTTCTAGGTAAATTTATAGCGTAGAACCCATAGGAAGAAACTTAAATTATGTATAATAACCCAACATTGGGCTATTAAACAAGAGTTAATAACCCATTTTTGACCGCAAAATTCTTCATTTATTCTCTATTTTTTTGTGTGATTTAAAGGCTTTAAAATTGCATTTAAAAAAAAACGTTTAATTAATTGATTTTTCAACGTTTTCCTCGTTAATTTTGTTATTTAAAACTTTTTTATTTATTTTTTACTTAATTTTATTTAATTATTTATTATGTATTAAATATTATTTTTAGGGTTTTTATTTTTGTTTCAAATGTTAAATTATTTAAGTTTTGTCACGTGGAGGGACAGCACGTGGTTCACGTATTTAAATATAGAACAACAGTGAAGTCCCCCACTTTCTTTGGGTGATATGAGCATCAAATAATATACATTTGTACTCCACTTACTTCCCAACTTTACCCCTATCCCCTATATTTTGATAGGGGAAAAGCCCAATTTTAATGTAAGAAACTATCTAGATTCACCCCTACTTACTACAATTCCCCACTGATTCCACTGTTTAAAATACAAGCCCTCAGTTATCTCCAAACAATCACCCATTTCCTAATCAATAATTGCGACTGTTACTCGAATTTGGGGGGCCAAAACTCAAATATTCCCCACAAAAATTATAAAAAAATGTAGCCCCACCTGTGCACAATGTCATCCTCTATCACCTCCCCAATTTACCTGGCACAATATATTAATTTTAGTCAATTTTGGGGTTTATTTTCTCATCATAAATTCCACAGCAAATTGCTGATCGATCAGCAGTTTGGTATGAAATTTGCTCAGTAGATTGATCAGAAAGTTGCTCAGTGAATTGATCAGTGCCCTGTTCAATGGAAATTTGATCAAAGGATTGATCAAAACCGTTACATTTGCATGAAAATTGATCAGCACCATTAATCGATGCGAAAATTGCACAGCAGATCGATCAGCACCCCTCCAACGGATATGCAAATCGACGGATGAGGACAAGGATACCGAGCAACATCCCTAATTCCCATACACAAAAGGAAGAATTAAGAGTGAGAAACCTTACTTTACGCTCCTCATCCGAGTCGGTAAATTAAGGAGGGCGCAGGGATGCGTGGTAGGGAGGGCAGAGTGACCGAGCTAGACTATGAACATAGCTGCGGATAGATGGCAGGACAACACTGTTCATTAAAAACAAGGATTCGATAGTTACATAGATAGATAGGCACATTGAGAACACGTTTAAAAAAATGCGAACAGTAATCTATTGGATAGTAGGAGCTTTGCCATTGGACGATGGCATTTGGGTCTTGCGCGATTGGTCGTCCATGTTTACGTCGTAACGGAGCGCCGTAGTCACATCGTGGCCATTAGCAGAAGGAGCCATATACGAGCCGTAAAGGTGGTCTTTTAGTGGTATTACAGTGGTAAATATGAGACGGAGATGAGCGGCAATTTTATGGATGGACTGCTAGGGAACAAGTACTCAGCTGACACTACCTCACCAAGTGCTCTGACGAGTTACGGGCAGCATCGAATGTATCCGTATGTCAGCCTGTCTCCACAGTCTGCTGTATCCGTTACGGGCAACGTCTACTACACTTCGAATGCCGATTTTGCAAAGTCGTGCCGATACAACACAGCCCAGAACAATGGAATGGATGGATCGGGTGGTGCAGGTTACTCTTTCAACTTGCAGAACTGTGCCGCCGTTGCAGCAGCAGCAGCAGCAGCCGCTGTTTCGTCCCCTGCCACTTCCCCCGCTGTTGTGGCACCCTCGCAGTTCTTCCCTCATCCCAATCCGGCTGATATCGGTTCGTGTTCCCAGCTTGGTGTCAGGCAAGTGGAGCAGATCCCGGACGTGCCACGTTATCCCTGGATGTCTATTGCCGGTAAGGGCTTTATTGTCCACACACACTCTCTCTCTCTCTCTCTCTTTCTACGTTAAGTGTTGACTTAATGGGATTTGGGAGTCGTACAAGGTCGTAGGGGAGGGCCAAAAACCAACATGGCTGTCCTGCCCTGACTGACGTGTAAGGTTACGCGCGTGGTCTTCGTGTGTGTGACGTACACGCTCGTGATTGTCCCTGTGGGTGTTTCGAGCTCGCTGTTCAGGGTGTATGTCTGCTCTTAGAGGCACACAAAAAGTCTCTCTGGCTCCTCTTCTTCGTTCTGATAGGTCTAAAGTCTGTTTAAGTCTTCCCAAATTGTTTTATGTGGCCTCTTTAGTAGGATTTCTCTTTAAAAAAAAAATATAGGGACAAATTCTCTTTATGTTTGGTTGTAAATCTTGATACTGACTTCACACTACGTTGTGTTTTACTCATACGCTTGTGTAAATCACACACCCGCGTGATAAATCGGTGTTTTAGCGTATTAATTTCGCGTAACTCTTTAAAAATTCGCTAGAATTCGGTTAAATCTCTCAGATAGAAGGGGAAAATCACTCCTGAGTCTAGAAAAAACACAAAAATCTTTTGTAATTTCCTTTTTCCTAAAGATTTCGTTCAATTTATCCATTGTCACGTCCCTAATTTTGCCCCAACTTTGTTCTATAGAATCGGGCGATTAATCACCCCAAAAAATATCCCAAAATATAAAAAAATAATCATAAAAAAACCCTGGTATAATAGAAAGTTATGAAGTTCCCTCCTATTTGACATTAAAGAAATGAATGAGGAGGGATGATTAAACCTTTAATCCAATCTGAAGGTCAAGACTTTTATCTCTGATTCCGTTTTGTTGTATGAGATTACCCTTCAAATTATTTTATGAGTCTCTTTAACAGTAAGTGATACACGAAAAGAAACACTTCTAGGTAAATTTATAGCGTAGAACCCATAGGAAGAAACTTAAATTATGTATAATAACCCAACATTGGGCTATTAAACAAGAGTTAATAACCCATTTTTGACCGCAAAATTCTTCATTTATTCTCTATTTTTTTGTGTGATTTAAAGGCTTTAAAATTGCATTTAAAAAAAACGTTTAATTAATTGATTTTTCAACGTTTTCCTCGTTAATTTTGCCCATGATTTGTTGTTATAGTTCCCTTGCAACGTGTGTGCTGTTACACTAATAAAATCTGAAGCGTGCCATTGTTATTGAGTTAATCTTTATTAAAATAACGTTTAAGACGATGTAAAAACGTTAAAAAAACGTTGATTTTGGTACAGATTTTCGCCTTAAGTTACGCGTTATTGTCGTAACAATTACTGTTTTAATTTATTAGTAAATTACTAGCAAGTAAGATGATCCAGAAACGTTTTCGAATGGTGTAAAAACGTTGAACTGACGGCAAAAATGTTAAATTTTCTCAATTATTTTAATGTCAAGATGTTATTTTCATGTCCAAACAATTACGTGTGTTATTGTAGTAACGTTTTATCAAGTTACTAGTGAGGTTACACTTGCAGAATGGTTCTCCCCCCAAAAAAAACGTTTAATTAACAGTTTTGAAAGGGGGAAAAACCGTTATATTCTTGATAAGAGTCAGAAAAAAAAGAAATTTCTTGTATTGTTATCACTAAGTGTTTCTATTCTTTTTTTTAGATGTTTATCTTGAGAAACGTGATGTTATCGTAACAAGATAGGAGCGTGTTACTATAGTAACATTCTATCAAACTATTAATCATAAAATGCTCTGAAAAGTCTCTATCCAACGTTTCTAATTGAGTTAAATTACTTCTTTTTTTTCTTCAAAATTACCCCCAAATAAGAGCTTAAAATAACATTAAAAATTACCCTAAATTGGAGCTGAAAATGACCCAAAAGACATTACAATTTTGACAAAAAAATACCTCTAAATAAAGGTTTTAAAACCCCCCAAAGAAAGCTTGAAAATCCTCTAAAAATTTCAAGATTTTCTTGAAAAATCTCTTCATTTTCTTTACTTTCACTCGATTACTTTCTATAATAACTCACTCCTTAAAAGTGTGCTGTTAAGGTAACAAAAATGGAAGCTTTGCTACTGTAATAGTAGTTTATTAAACTAGTAGTAAGTTTATTTATAAAGTAGCTCATACATAAAATAAGCTTTGGTCCATCCTTTCACAGAAAAATCTTACAAAATTGAAGAGGAAGAGGAAAGAGAAAAGGGGAGTAAAATCGCCTTTTCCAATTTACTAAAGTGCTTTCCATTCACTTGGTTATAGTTTAATCTAACCAATATTTTTACTTATAACCTGAGAAAATATCTTAAAATACATAAAATTCTTCTTCTAAATTCTTCTAAAAAAACACGAAAAATATGAGATTTTTTTTCCATGATTTTCCAACCGTAAAATCCGTCAACCACGTGCAACGACTCGCGATTTAATCGATTAATGGTATTTGGAAGCGATTTTAACACCAAAATCGACGATTAATTGGAGAATCTTTAGTGTCAGGAGGGAGTTTATAGTGTTTTTTAAACACTTCATTTAAAAAACCTCATATTTTAGGCCCGGAAATTTGCTAATTTTCTCCTTTTTTTCTGGATGTTGCTCCTTGTTTTTAGTTGTGAATATGAATAGCCTTTAAGGTGGCTTTTTAAGGGAAAATTAACCTCCTTTTAAGCATTTTATAGGTTTTATTTTCCTCTTATAATCAAGGCTAAAAATATCTTTAATTAATATATAAGTTTTGAATGTGGTATTAAATAAGGCTCTTTATTCACAAAGGGCACCTTTGTGAATAAAGAGTGCCTTATTTAATGAATAATAAGTGAATAATAATGAATGAGTGAATAATAAGTGCCTTATTATAATAAGGCACTTATTATAATAAGAATTGTTCATTTGAACCTGGTATTAAATAAGGCTCTTTATTCACAAAGGTGCCTTATTATAATAAGAATTGTTCATTTGAACCTGGTATTAAATAAGGCTTTTTATTCACAAAGGTGCCTTATTATAATAAGAATTGTTCATTTGAACCTGGTATTAAATAAGGCTCTTTATTCACAAAGGCGCCTTATTATAATAAGAATTGTTCATTTGAGCCTGGTGACTAACGCTCAAAGGCTTAATAAATGTAAAAATAAAAGGTTAGTAAATAAAAAAGTTGTTGAGAATTATCTATTGTGCCTGATTTTAAATGTAGCCTAGCCTACAGGCACAAAGCTTAAGTACACTAGAGCCTATTTAGCTAGTATATATTACTGTACCCTAACAGACTAGCCTAAAAGTTTGCCTATTAATACAATATGGCTTCGTTGCTAGCATGAGTCTAGTACTAGCCTAGAGGCTTAAATTTCGCTTAAATTAAGCCTGTAGTACAGTAATACATTAAGGTTTTGTTGAACACTGTGTTACTTTGATGTCGTAGAGTAAGTTTATTAAGATTAAGGCACACATTTGCAAGCGTAGAGTTAATTCACGTTGATGAACTTGTGCTTTTATATGGAGGCATGCTCTCCAGTGGAAACATGTAGTGAAGAGCATGTATCTGTGAAGGCATTTTTATAATGTAAACTTGTGCTGTTGTGAAACAGATTCGAGTAAACATAAACATCTCTGCTAGTAGAAACATGCTCTGTATGTGTGGAAGCGTGTCTTATAAGTGTAAACATGCTCATATAGGGGAATCGTGCCGTGTAAGTAAAGCATGTTGGTGTAGTTGTAAGTGGGAACATGCTGATGTATGTGGAAGCATGTCTTATAAATGGAAACATATTCGTGTAAATTATAGCATTATAGCACTACTTGTAAGTTGAAGCACGCTCATTTAGGTGAAAGCCTGCTAGTGAAGGTGGGAGCCTTCTCGTGTAAGTGGAAGCCTTTTCATGTAGGTGGGAGCCTGCTAGTGAAGGTGGGAGCCTGCTTGTATAGGTGGGAGCCTGCTAGTGAAGGTGGAAGCCTTCTCGTGTAAGTGAAGCCTGCTCATGTAGGTAGGAGCTTGCTAGCGAAGGTGGGAGCCTTCTCGTGTAGGTGGGAGCCTGCTAGTGAAGGTGGGAGCCTTCTCGTGTAGGTTGAAGCCTGCTAGTGAAAGTGGGAGCCTTCTCGTGTAGGTGGGAGCCTGCTAGTGAAGGTGGGAGCCTTCTCGTGTAAGTGGAAGCCTGTTCGTGCAGGTGGGAACCTGCTAGTGAAGGTGGGAGCCTGCTCGTGTAGGTGGGAGCCTGCTCATGTAGGTGGGAGCCTGCTCGTGTAGGTGTGAGCCTGCTCGTGTAGATGGATAAATGTCTTGTAAGTGGTATGTAGATGGAAATATGCTGGTGTAAATTAAAGCATGCCTGGCACGTGGAAACATGCTCGTGAGGGGGGAAACTTACACTCCCGTAACTGGAAATGTTCTATTCAGTAGAAATGGGAGCAAGAAACAGGCTTTTGCACTCGTAAGTAAAAACAATTTCTCTTTCAATAGTTGGAACGTCAGAGAAACGAAGGAAATTTCTAATAACGCACAAACCAATGACAATTAGCGAAAAATAAATAAAGTAATCTTTTATATGTTGACATAGAAGATTGAAGCTTTTACTAAACTTGATTTACATGACTTAAGTATGTACTTAGTTATAATAACTTCGTTTCGAGTAAACAGTTTTGCCTCTTTAAATGACTTTTCTTATTGACTCAGTTTGAAATCTTCCCTAATAAGTTATTGATTAAAATTTGAGGCCCTCCAAAGTCAGATCGATTATTTTATTAAAGGAAAATTTAATCAAGTTTCTCTTTGATTTATCTCACCCCCACCTTCATTGATTGATGTTGGTGAATTAAGTGGAAAGGGGGGGAGGAATTTCACGTCAGGTTTTGTCAGTTTTTTAGAAAATAAATGCGTGTTTCCAGCAATTAATTGTGATTTTTGGAATTCCAGAAGGGTTTTTGATGACTCTGAAGTGTTTTTAGATGGAGTTTTTAAAACAAATTTAGGGGGAAATGTAAGGAGTGTGCTCTAAAGTGTATTTTAGAAT